TTTTTTTTCCAGAGTTTTTCTAAAGCCCTTCCAGAAATCACATTTCATGCAATTTGAAAAGGTTTTAAGCATTTTTCAGTGATTCTGCTTGCAGGTCAAAAGAGCCTGTGCTTGTAAGAAAGGTTGCTGGCTCTGGAAAGACTTACCCTGCTGCATTAAATATTTATTTAGAGTAGGTATATTTAAAAAGTTAAGTTTTACTTTTTGGTAATGAACACTTCAGTAGTTTGTTAATTTAGAACTTAAAAACTTCTGTATGTACCTGTAGCAGACTGTTTAAACAATTTGAGAAAGCAGGTTGGAAACTCGAATATGGTTTTATCACCTGGGTGAACAACTTCAGAAGCCATTCTAAACAGATTACTTTGAGACTCAGACAATCATCTTTAAATTTTGTAGTGGATTTCACTGATCATGTGTAAAATAACTGAAGTAGCATGTAAGAGACTGAGATGAAAGTATTGAGCTGATCCTGCGTTGTCTGAAGTCCTGAGAAGGAATTGCTCTTTTGTTGTCATCTTGGGTGGCTGGCTCAGTATGCAGGTGTTTATTCTTAGCCCCTGGCTGTGTCATGCTGCCATATGATGGAATGGAAGCTAAAAGGAAGCCAAAAGCCAAGAGCTAAAAGTTTGGTGTATCATATGTCAATGTGGAATAAATAGTTTGGACAATACTGTTGAAGAAAGGACACCCGAATTATAAATATGAATGGAGGGGGTTCAGACTTTCAAATCTAGCATGCCTCTCTTCAAAACAGCACAGGGCATGTACCACAATGTGCCTTCCCGACAGCAGAGTTTAAGAGTGTATTGGAAAGATGATCTGTACGCACATCTTAAATACTGGTTTCCTATCATTTGTTGTTGCAGATTTAACATAAAAAACATAAAGTGCAATTCCAAGGTGGAAATGGTTTATTGGTGACATATTTATTAAACAGAATGTAAAAATAATAATTTCTTACTGTAAACAGTCTCTAAATGAGGAATGGCCAGGTCTAACTGTACTGATGGATTGCTGTAGATGTAATTGGTAATGTAAGCATAAACTTCTATTACAAAGATATAATTCAGTCAATTTAATTAAACAATTAATTTGGCCCTTTGCTCTTCTATGATGAAAGTATTAAATATCTGTCTGATGATCTGAATGGGTAAGGTAAGATTTTTGGAGTGGAAGGGAAGGATATTGTCCCTTAAAACCAAACCCTTATCTTTGTTGTTTTCAATGAAAATCAAATTAATTCACCTTCATGAATAGCAATTAAAATTCAAACCTGCCTTCTTCATACTCACACTTGTTTCTCCTACTTATGCAGAAACAAGTTCAAATGGAATTAAAAGATAAGCAGGGTTGAACTTGACATGCTTTTACTTATGGAAAACCACTTTGTAACACTTTTTTTTAATGTGACAATCCCAACCATTTAAAATTGTATAGACAACCTTTTCCCTTTTGCAGTCTTAATAAACAGCTGCGCGAATACAGCAAAATCCTTACACAGGAAAAAAATTCAGTTAGCATCTAACATAACTTGATGTCTGGAAAGAAGATTAGAGCTCTGTATAGCCAGTGAATTTTGGTTAAAACACGGATACTTAGTCTGAAATTCTAAAAGCATTTTCTTGTTAAGACGTTGTGCTCATTTTTATTTTGTTTAAAGCTTGCATATTTGCAAGTTCAGTAGAATGGATTTTCTACACCAGAATGCCATTTTCAATTAATAATATAAATGTCAGATTACATTAGGGGAATGTAAGATGAACCTGTATCTTTTTTTATTTGATTAAAAACCATACTGAAGAAAACCATGTTTTAAGAATTCTGATTTTTACTTTAAAAAAAATTTATTTTATAGTGTATGTTGTCTTTTGGCATTGGTGGACTGACTATTCTGAATGCTAGTGTTCCAGTTTTCTGTGGAGCTGAAAGGGGAAGGGAGGGGTGACTTTTCTCATATCTTGCCTGTATTGTCCAAGTCTTGCGGAGAATCTGGGATCACCTGACTCATTGATTCAAATTCTCTGTCACATGCCCTCACATCATGTAATGCTTTTCATAAATTAATTGAACTTTATCTTTAGACTGACTGACTTTGCTTTTTCTAGATGTGGATGTGTTATGCTTGCACAGTCTGTATTTAGTGTCTCCTGAAACAGTTACAAGGATGCAAAGTTATGGCATCTCTTTAACATGTTAAAATGGTCTCAGATGACTGGGTTTTTTTCATCTTTTTACACAGCAGAGGGAAGACTGTTGCATTCAGTTGCATCAGGTTCAGACTGGTGCTAGTTTATGCTGTTTGGATTAATTTTATTTCTAGTTATTCAATGTTACTGCCTGCATCCAAGAGATTTTTGTGTGGAATAATAAATTTTCAAAAACATTTAATGGTTTCAGGATTTCTTTTATTTAATTTTGTTCCTTCTGTGTCCTTTTCCTAATACTAGACTTTTCTTGTCTAGAGACGTGATACAGACTGTTATAGGAAAGATTGTAAGCATCTGTGATAAACAGGTTTTAAAATATCATAGCTGTCATCAGTCCAGCATTTTAGAAAGGCATATGGAATCCTTTCCTTAACTTTTCTCTGGTCTCACAAATTCTTTAAGTGAAGTAGTATCAGAAATCTTACTCTTTGTTTCCTCTTTCCCCTACACTCCAGAAATGGTTTTGTTTGCTGATGGTCATGCTTTTTAATTTTAAAGAAAACTACATAAAGCACAGATCTTTTTCATTCATGGATAAGCTGTAGTAACGAGTTACTGCAAGATGATGGGCTGCAGAAAGCATATTGTATATATCAATGCATGAAAGTTGTATGGCATTTATGTAAATATTACTTTGTACACAGTTACAGTTTAAAAAAAATTGTGAAGTGTGCCATTTTTTCACCAGTGAGAGTACTATTTATTTAAAGTAAGAAGTATGTTTAAGTTTAGTGATTTCAGGCACAGTTCATCAGCCTGTATCAAAGCATCAACAGCAGGAAACCTGTCAGGTAGTTTAGATTTGTAATTTGGTTTTAAACACGCAATAGGCTGTTTCAGGTTGAGTCAATATTGTTTTCTTCATACTGTAGTAATCTGATCTTTCCTAGATTTCACTGTGATATCAGGACATTACTGAATACGATCACGTAGAAGCTATTTCATAGTATGTATGACCAGGCATTTGCTCTTACTCTCTGTTTATTATTATAAGCTTCTGAGCAAAGACACTTTGATTTGTGGTGATACAGTGGTGATGAAAGGCTTCTACAATAGCCTTGATCAAAACCCAGATTCCTATATTGGAAGGGAGGAGGAGGGGAAAGGAGTTTACTCACAAAAACGAATTGAGCAACAACTACAACTGGCAAAGTGTATTCCTGTAATCTCGAGTAAATTGCTTATTCATGGTAAGAGTCAAGACTACACAAACCTAATAGATCTGTAATCTTATGTGTTTTACTTCAGAGAATTCCACTGCCGAGAGAATTATCCATTCCTTCAGTTCTATGTTGTCTGAAATAGTCCTCTTTTAAGGTGTGATTGATTTGCAGTCAATAGAATATGAGTAATGGTGGCTAATTCCAAAAGTGAAAATGATGAGGAAAAAGGGCAATGTGTGATGTAGCACAATGGTGTGAGATTTCTTGCGAAGTGTTGTTTAGCAACTCCTTCTCTTCAGAGAAGGCACGGCAATGCTTATATCTTGAGGGACAAAGATACATTTGGTGTTCTACAGGGAAGAAGGGACTAAATGACATTTTTCCTTAGAGTGTGATTAGCAACCACTTGTAATCAGCAGTTGCTGCCAACTCCACCCTGCAGTTCCTGTTTCAGTTGTAGGAATATGTAGTGATCTATTTCAAATTCAGCCATGGTCTTGTGGCCTTTCTTGTTTATAGGTCAAGTCTTTTGTGGCCAAAGCTTCCACTAGGAAACTCTAATTATTTCGTGAGAAATATGAGTGGAATCACTGTTTTCTTTATTGCTTAGTAACTTTAGGAATTGTTTTACCTTTTAATTGTTTAATCCTTTAAAATCCGTTCATGTGCTAATTAATTAATATATGATATTTGAAAATAGGATAAAGTGCCTTATTCTGCAGAGTTCTGGTGCTTAAGTCAATGAGCACAGAGGTGAAATGAGTTTGTTCACTCCAGAGATGCAGCAAGTGATGTTTAAATGATTTTGCACACTAATCTGTAGGAATTTTATATCTTCCTCTGAATAAATTCACCAGTAACCTGTGCTAAACATCAATCAGATTTAAAACCCAATTATTTTCTAGCAGAAATTAAAAACTATTGTTTTCAAGTATGTGGTGCTAACATTTGTTTTCCTAATATAATTAATCTTCAAATGAATAAAGCAACCAACATGCATCTTAAAATCTTGAAAGGCCAGTGGTTTCTGGAGGTGGATGGATGGTGCATAAAGTATAAATCTGATAATAGCTAATCACACTCCTTATTATGTAAGTTATTCTAAAAACTGAGACTTTTGTCATTTTTCATAAGTAATTTTTACAGTCTTTTGCAGAACAGGACTTTTTTTAAGCCACAGCATTTTGTGCTGGCAGTCAAAGTAGGCCTCCTAAATTAAAGACATTTCATGCAACTTGCATTTAAATCTTAAGACAGATATGAATGTACGTGTATGTGCACTGGCATTTTTGACAAAAGGCCCAATTATGTCTGTCCTGGGAAAGATTGTCTTAGGCAATCCTTAAAAGACAGAATGAAGCATTATGTTTTGCTTCTGTGAAGTTCTTTGAGATGAGCAATATAGTTACAGATTATTTCAGTTTTGATCAAGTACTGATGTAAACAGTAGATTACATTTATGAGACAAAAACTCACCACTGTGCTAGATTACATTAAGATTAAAAAAAATCATGGAAGACATACTAGAATACAGTGACGATAGTACTATGTAGTTCTTCTAAGCAAAGTAATTTATCTTAACATATTTGGATGAAAAAAAAAAATCAATGTTTTCTGCATCTCCACATCAATACGTTGTAATGATTTTTCCCTACTGTTATGGCAGCTTCATTATTTCAGTGGAAGTACCTTATATACACCAGCAAAGTAGCATCTCTGATAATCAGGTTACATCTAGAGTCTTCCTAACTTGATAAAATTTTCACTATATTGTCATTCATACATGTATAATACAAAAAAAAAGCTCCTTCAGTGCTCAGCTTTTAATAATCCTGTTCATAATTAAATATAAATCTGACTAAAACATTCTTCTACATTAAAGTCTTGTCATAAAAACATTTTGAATATAAACCTTCAATGCTTACTAGAGTGATACTATATATATACACACACAAATGCACTTTTTTCTGTTAGTAGCAAGCATTTTGTTCACTATTTGCACAACTTCACAGTCATGTGTTTTATAGAACCACTACTAAATCAGACTTCTGATTGCTCATTACTGTCAGGAATGACAGACGTTAAGGCAGCCTGGCAAAAGCGATGTAATGTTGACATTTTTGTTTTCTGTTCAATATACAGTCGCAGTTTGTCTCTGAAGGTTTCCCCTAGAAAACTGTAAATTAAGGGGTTCAAACAGCTATTAGAAAAAGCTGCTAGGTTCACAATATGTCCTGTTAAAGGATAATCATGTCTGAAGGATGGGCTGCTTGAAGAGCCAGGCTCACTTTTCTTTTGAAGAAGTTGAACACTAATGAAGACGTTTTCAGGTAGCCAGCAGATAAAGAAAACCAAGACAACAACAAAAATCATTCGAAGAGCCTTTTGTCGCCGCAGACGAAGACTCCTATGCTTGTGTGCTTTTATAAGAACTCGAACAATTAATGAGTAACAAAGACCAATGATCACAAAGGGGATAATAAACCCCAAGGTTATTTCTAGCCACTGGATTTCTTTTACATCTGCAAAACAAAAATAGACCTCTCCGGTGTGTTGTAAATGCACAGCTGTAAATGGAACTAGTGCTGCAGAAATAGATGCCATCCATATGAGACCACAGCTTAATCTAGCGTGTTGCATAGTGCGAAATATGTTGGACCTCATTACTTTTGCCAGTGCTATGTATCTGTCAAAACTCATCCATGTCAGAAAGAAAATGCTGCTATACATGTTGATCTGAAGGAACAAGGACATAAAGGTACAAATAATAGTGATATCATAATATTTTTCATCAAGATTAAAAACCTCAATGAGAGAATCAGCAACTAAAATGAGATCAGCTACTGCAAGATTTATGAAGTAAAGGTCTGGAATGGTCATTTTTTCACGAAAGCTTATGTTGACAACCAGTATCAGAATGTTTCCTACAAAACCAATAGGGAAAAGAAATATTGTGTAAAGACATGATAAGAAAAGACCAATAACATATTGTTGGTGTTCTGATTTATCAGCTAATCTAGAAGATATACTTTCATTACAGAAATGTGATCCATTTAGGTTAAAAGTTGTGTTGTTACATATAACAGGTGATACTGAGGCAGAATAAGTTTCCATGGTTAAAATATCTGCAGAAAAGGTATTAGTTCTCACAGTTTGGTGGTAATGCCCAAAAAATCAGATTTTAGGTTGTTTCCAACTAAGTTCATAGTAAACATTTTGATTGGAATGGAAAAATATGTACACTTTTATATTGGAAATTAAAATTATTTAGAAGTCAAATTAATTAAACTTAAAATTGACTGAAATATAACAGTACAAATGGTAAATTTCTTAATTTTTTTACAGGATGCTATATACATTGCAAATGAGAGAATTTGCAGTTCCTGTATGCCTTAAGATCATGTAGGAATCTTTTTACCATTATGGTACTTGGGTCTCTTTAATAAAAGCTTTTCATCAACAGTGTTTCTTCATGCAGTTTGGAAGGTAGTAGAATTTTATCTCCATTTGTTTTCTTTTAATAATCAAGGAACATCCTTGGACCTGCAATTTGCAAATGGAAAACGATTAATCTCATACTCCAGCATTGTACCATGTACCATATGCTTCTGCTAATTTAACATACACAGCTGAGGTTGTAGGAGACGTGATGTTTGAATATATATGCAAAGGATCAGTTAAAAAAATTTAAAATTGTTCTAGATGATAATGTATTGTGAAGACAGATCTGTTAAAATTTTGTGTACCCTTCAGGGTTTCAGTATTAGATATACTGTGAGGGCAGATCTGTTAAAGTTGTGTGTACCCTTCAGGGTTTGGGTATTAGGAAATGTAGAACTGTAGAAAATCAGATGAGTGAGTTTAGCCTTCTAAAGAAAAATTTTATTTTTTTAAACTTTTATATATATATATACACACACACACACACACACACACACATACATATATATATATATTTCATCATTAGCTTGTAAGGCTATTAAGTAATAGAGCCTGTGGCTGAGAAGGCAACAGATGAAAAGCAGTTGGTTCCTTCTGCTTTCAGTGGGAAGGAAAAGGCAAGTTTTAGAAATGAAGGTAATAGAAGCAGCATATTGATTTACACCAACATTATTATACTAAATTTGCTTTTCTTTGTGATTAATTATGTTGCACTGACTTCCGCATAGGAATGGAAAATATCAGTTATCTGATTTGTTTACTTATAAATGTTGACTATGGACTTGAAGCATTGCTAGAAGTTTATTTAAAAGAAAAACACAACTGAACAAAAGACATCCCAAACTAATAAAAACAGCAAGAAATTGATAACCCAGGGTATTTTGTGTTAAATTTTAAATATTTTGAATTGCTTTAATCTTATTCCTACTATGAAAACCTTGATTTTAATCACATTAAAACATATTAAAAAACTTAAATTGTTTACAAGTAAAATTCATGCATATTTCCACATTTTAATGACACTAATCCTGCTGATGTACCATTTGGGGGAGAAAAAGGAACAGACCAGTAATGGAGTAGAAATGTTAGAATATTTTCATTTAGAAATACAGCTCTGAGTTTGCTTAAATGTATCCAAGTTATCAGAAGTAGGTAACAGATACTTAAATAAAGATAGTGGTTCCAAAGCTTTTATTTCTTAAATGAAATAGGCATAAGTGCACAGTAGCTGTTGCTATGTTTTGAATAATTTTTGTAATGTAAATCTTTATGCTAAAATATCCATTTGAAATTACATTTATTTGAAGAAGGTTTAGTGTTTGTTTCAAGAAGCTACGGAAGTCAGACGTGAACTGTTGTCCTTTTTTATTACTTCCTTTTATTTTAGAATAAGACAGTAAAACTGATTTAAATACAATAAAAGATAAGTTAACAGTCTAAGCAATTGATTTTAAAAGGTCAGTCTGTGGTCAGATTTTAATTACATCTGAAAGGCCACCAAAAGCCAAGCAATTACAAGCATTACAGGTAACCATGTACTGTGAAACACTTTATTTTACCTTAATTCCATTTCTTCAGAGCTGATTTTCCTTCAGACAACAGAAGGCTGGTTCTTGCTCGGGTACACGCTTAATGTGTCAGCTTCGACTGTCGTGACAGTAAAAAACTTGTATTTAGGTGTGCAAAGCTGCAGTGAATGCCACCTGTTGACGATTCAGCAGTAAAAAAAAAAAAAAGAAAGAAATCATACAAAAGTCTATTCTCTTTTAAAGTGTCTTAAATAAAGGATAGATTACAACAGCAAAATGCAGATCTTGCTGCATGTCCTTGGCAATAAAACAAGCTTTATAGATTCCCAGGGTTGTTCTAATTTGTGTGCAGTTGAAGTGCTGCTGAACAGCCTTATAAGACTAAGATTAACCCTGTTTCTGCTGGTTTCTTTTTTACTAGAACTAGTCAAGCATCTTTTCTCTCATATTTGTCAGTTTTATTTTGCCTGACGTTCATTTCACCTTCCTTTCTGCCTCTAGCATTGTTTTCAAATTATATACTCCATTTAAACCTACAGCTCTGCTGATGAATAATTGAGATCTATTTGCAAATTGTAACTAAGCATATTTTACATAGATATAAAGCAATAAGTACTATTAGACGTGGTATTTTTTTAAAGCCCCTAGACAATCTAAAGAGAAATATGTGATCGAGAGAAATCTAGCAGCTTGAGAAAGGTCATTTGCTAAACTGACAATATAAATTTCAGTTTTCCTACCTTCAAGTCGATCCTGTTTTGTCTGTTTGTATCTAAATTTTCAGGTATACATTGTCATCCTCACACTTAGAATTGCTCAGCTCCAAATCACATGGATAAAATAAGCTTATTTTGCAGAGAATGTGGAGCCTCAGTCTTGCATAAAAACACCAGTATTGCAGGTGGAGTTTTGCATTTCCTCTGTAGGGGGGAAAAACTACGTGACATTTCCAGAAACACCACCTACTGGCGGCCAGAATTCTTAGAACGGAAAGAAAGTTAAACCTTTCTTTTTCATAAAAGAGAAATATTTTATTTGTGTAAGTTGCTTTTTATACTATATTGATCTGATACCTGAATGTTAAGTGCCATTGATGGATGCTGTACATTGATGCAGCGTTCTACTGCTACCGGAGTAAGATGAACTGGGTCTCAGCATTTAGGATTTCAAGACGACAATGTTACAGTTTGAGAAGTGTGGAGTAAAAAATTAACATGTCATTGTAATGGCTGTATTGAATCTATTACAGCTGTTAGGTATTTTTAGATTACAAAAGATCTCATCTGTAGAAAAGTGAAGCAAAAGTTCTTTACACAGGTGGCTTTGGGAGTAGAAGGCACTTTGCCTTCTAGTGCCATTGAAGCAAATATATTATTTGCTGATTTTTTTTTTTTTTTTTTTTTTTTGGTAATGTGCCATGTGTAGGAACACAGGATTTTGGCAGTGTTACTGAAAATGTTTTTTAAGATGTTCTTACACGATGGCTTTTCATAAATAGTTTTGGAATAAATTATTAATTAGCTTAAAAGAAAGTTTGTGCAAATTAGTGCTGGTAAAGATTTTCTGAGCAGAAGACAAGCACTGTGTGTGAAATGGTTTTTGGAGTGTCTTTCTACAGGGTTATGAGGACAGAGAGCCTGAAATGTTTTGCTTTGAGAAGTGTACAAATATGATTTCATTATAGGACTGGAATAGTTGTGATGTTAGAAAAATCTTGTGATACCAGCTTTGAATGTCTTATTTTTTTTGCTGTCCTGAAGAACAGGATTATAAAGAGTCTTTATTGTTGTTTGTTGATCATGTGGTTTTGCTGTACTTAATTCTGTCCTTCAGAGCTTTTACTGATCTTGTAAGGGCCAGAAGGATTTTTTAAACTTTCTTTGTGCATAATGTTAGCTTCTGGGTGTTAGCTGTTTGTAATTATGGGGGTCTGGATTTGATAATCAGCTGGTTTGTCTGTACTTGTTTTTCTATCTGTGAATATCAGCTGATTTTGCTGTTAAAATGCGTAATTCTGAGTGCTAATTTTCTTGTTTGAATTAATGATAAGAAATATGTCACTTTGCCATACTTCCAGAATTGTTAGGAAATTCTCCTTTGAAAGAACCATGAAGTAGCTGTTTTTCCTGCTAGTAGAACTGTGAAGTGTAAGAGGCCAAATCTAGTACCATTATGTTATATTATTATAATTAGTGAGTTCTGTATTTTGCTAAATACTTTGAGATGATTGTGTGAATCCTTTGAGTCCAGTTTCCTAAAACAGATGACATCTTCAGGCTCTTTGTGTATGCAGTCAAATGATTGTTACTGATTAATCGATCTTAATCTCACTGTTCATCACCTCCATATTCCATAAAATGCTTAAAACTAATTTTAGCAGCTGCTGACCATTGTACCCTTTCCCTGGCAGTTGCTGATATTCTATGGGACTTTATAGGGAGTGCCTTAATGATCCACACTTAGTCACAATTGTGACAGTATTAAGTATTACAGTTCTGCCTGTTGTACCTTATCTTGATTGTTGCTGAGAACGTCTGACAGCAACTGGTGCGATAGCATTCATCTAATGTCAGATTTTAGTAATCCAGCATTTAAAGGTTTCTTAGCAGTTTATTTTTAAATCTGTAGTAGTCAACTTCTAAAACACTTTCTCAATAACCATATCTAACAATATAGAGTCTTTAATGCATGCTAGTGTAATTGTCTATAGGCTTAAAGTGGGGTATAATTGGAGATATTATGTAATTTAGCAGACTTCAACATATGTGCCTGCTGTTGTGTTGCAAAAAGGTGACAGCTGAGGAGAAAGAAAGTAGGATGTGTGAGTACAGGAGAGAACAACATAAGAGGTCCAGTGTGTCTCAGCTCTTGAGCCACCACTGTACAGTGGCCTCTCCAGTGGGATGATAAGCAGGATAAGCTCTGTTGGATGTAAAAGTTGGATATTGTCAGAATGAGAACAAAGCTGTTGAGTCCTGGAGAAATTAGATCCGGGCCAGGGTGTATAAAGCTGAAAAAAAAGTAAGGTAGTGTATTGCATGAAAGGGAAAGGAAGCATAAATTAAAACTGTGTTGGTATGCTTACAGTATAATATAACCATATGCAGAAGAAATAAGATTTGTATAAGAATCTCTGCAGAAATTATCTCCAGGGAAAACACAGATGCTGTTGTAATGTTCACGAAATTTTGCAGGTAGATTGATCTACTCCTCCAAATTCTCTCTCCTCTGTTAGCATGGATACTGTCTCTGACCTTTCAAGCACCGAATGACATCTGTCTGCCTGCATTACCCGGTTCTAGAGGACCCTCATACTTTGTCCTGTTCAGCCTCAGTAACTTTCCGTTTCTTGCAAATAATCAAACTTATTATGAGTTGGAATTGTTCTGTGCCTGCAGAAAACCTTGGACAGAGTGTATTTTATGTGTTCAGGCTTTTCAGTTGCAAATAATTCTGAGAATGCATTTTTCTCACTAAAAATATTTTTTAAAAGTTCAGCCTTTTCTTTTGCAGGGACAACACATATACCTGTTCAAACTATTCTATCTAGTAAAAACTTCTGATTTTTCTTAAAGTGTATACTGCAAAACTCTTGGGGGAATAATATAAAAATTTTACAAAACTGGACCACAAAATGTTGTATAGTGAAAGGTGATTCATCACAGGACTTCAGGCTCTATCCAAGTGCAGTTAAAAAATAAAATTCACAAAGCATCAATCATTTTTACTGTAGTAGTTGAATCTGACAGTCCTTTGCTGGACGCTTGTACCATGGAAGTGAAACGCATTCTTTCATTCTAGCCAATTAGTGAATCAGTTTGTTGTGCAACATACATAGTGTAAACATTATATAGAGTACTTGTTTTGGCTGAATTGCTTGAGCTTTCACCCTCCCCCAAATCTTCTGCAACTACCTCAAAATCAAGGTAAATAATGCTGTAGACCTTTCAGAGTCTGTAAGTTTGAAATAAGGATGTAAGACCAGGCTTACTAATACATGTAGGGGTGTAGCAGCTAGATTTTATGATTGAAGTGTGCAAGTCCGGTCTCTTTTAGCTCAGATGTTGTTTTCCAATGGGATCAGATCAAATTTGAGCCAGCTGGTTCAGCAGAGATGAGTCCTTAGTCTCTACACATTCCTCTCCAAAACATGTTACCAGCTCAGAAATTCATGCTTCGTGAGCAGCCTGCTCATTTCTCTTCTTTTACTGAATGGAAGGGCTTTTTCAAAAGCAGGCCAAAGTCCTAGGAAGATATGAATATTACCAGCACAGAAGTAAAATAGTCGTCTTTGAATTTTCCAGTATATTCCTTTAGTTAATTTTGACAGCATGCCTATAAAAATACATGCTCTATTTCTTCTGGAACACACTGTTCAAAACTAGGTGAAGCCTGGAGGAAGTTAAGTCTTAAACAAAGCTGTTGCTAGTATAAGGGGGAAAAAAATCTCTCCAAGCAGGGAGATTGTATTTTGTTCTTAAAAATACACTTCAAATTATTAATAATTTTAAAATTATTACTGTTTATCTTAGCCAAAACTGCTCTTTTCTCCCGCATGGCAGACTATTTTAGAATGCCTTTTGGGGACTGTTCCTGTGCCTTCCCCTCTTGCACACAGGGGTGTTTGCTCTCATGTTCTAGCTGGATGGAAGTAGATTTTCTCTAGGACTGCCTGTTCACTGTCCTGAATTTTAATGTAAGCTCTAAGTAACTTTATCAAGAATGATTTAAGAAAACATTTCTGCATTGCTGTAAGTTATAGTCATAACTATTTGACTTATTGTTCTGTGTTTTTCAGCCTCTTCTATTACCTTTTATTTTCTTCTGTTCAGTTACAAAGTATTTTCATTGTACATTGAGTTTTCTTTACAACCATATAACCAGTCATCCAGAAAATACTGTTTTTTCCCACAACAGTAGCCGTGGACAGGGAAGAGACATTCACTCACATCTCTCAGATGGCAGCCAGAAGCTGTACCCAGGAGACAATACATAGCTCATTCTTGACAAGATGTACTCATTCCCAAATCCTAGATCTGATAGTAGGGCCCTACAGGTTTTATTTCTTGGAAACATTTGGCTGTGGTTCTGCTTTAGCTGTGTACCTTGCTGAGAGTATCATGAAGCATCCTTCCACCCGTGCTGAACCTTCACATTCCTTACAGGTGTGCATTATTGTGATTCACTCACCATTAGACCAGTTTCCAACACTTACTGACTCGGTTTGCTTTTAGGCACCTTTAACAGTAACTCAGAACTCAAAATCAACAAAATATTTATTCTTTCATCCTCAAATATAAAATATATGGAAGCAGTGAATAAAGTATAATCCTTTGTGCATGATTCCCATACTAGAAAATAACCTACTTATCCATGGCACAGCTGAAACTATGATACTCTGTCTGAATTGGGATAAACAGCTTGTGTCTTCTGACACACTCTCTCACTCAGGCTGTCAGCTTTTTCACTGACGTACAGCTCTTACAACTCATCTCTTCAAACTTCTTCCTGCAGGGCTGATGGTCCATGTTGTTTATTCTCCCTCTTCTCAGGTGCAAAACCAAACTTCTGATGCCAGCTGAGAAATCCTTTCACAAGTTGGCTCTTAGATTCAAAAAGATGATTCTTATCTACGTATTTCCTTTCTGACCAGGTTCTCTAATGGTCTGTTTATATGTAGTGTTCTTTAATTACCCATCTGTTCATGCTGGCAGCAGAACAAAAGTGAATAGGAAAACAGGCTGACATAATACAAAGCAGACATCTTACCAGTTGATTTTTTACATCTTGCAGAAATATTGGTCCTTATGGTCATGGTAAGGCTAGGTATTGTGCTTTATTTGCATATGACATTGTCATGGTCCATAAATTTCAGGACTTGGATGTCTATGACTAGATCCAGATATCTAGATACTAGATATATAGATACTGTATTATTATTGAACAGATGTCCTTTATTCTTCCAATTATGCACTTGGCTGTTGTTTTGTGGAAGATGTTCTTCTTGCTCAATCAGTGCTGACTTCTCTCTGTCTTAGGCAGCCCATGCTGATTTGCACTAGCTCTTCATGCAAATCTGGACCCTGTCAGGAAGACCTTCCAAAGCATACAAACTGCAGAAAAATCTATCAGTTCCATTAGCATCTGGGTGTCATGCAAAGGCACATATCAAGCATCAAAATGGCTTTTCTCAGAACCCTTCAGGTCCCTTGAGCCCTCCTCCTCACATCACTGTATTTTTATAACTTTTTCAATCGAAGCCTACATTTTTATCCAAGATCTAGTACAATTTTGTGCCTTCTCTGTTGTTTCCGTTCACTCCACCTCTATGAGAGGAAAAGCTGAAACCGAAGCCAAATGTGTAAGATGGCTCCTGGCCAAATTTGGTGACAGTAACAGTGTGCTCAAAGCAAGCATTAAAAACTTTGCACCTACATCTCAGCTTGCATTGGCTACTGATTCTGCAGGGCTACATCTGAACTCCTATAGCACAGCTGTCTTATTCTCTGATTCTGATTTTTTTTTTTTTTCCCTATTTTGTGCCATTCTCATCTAAATGTATAATGCTCCTATCTTGTCTCCAGCAGAGCCCCGAATTCAGTTTGGAAATGGGGCTTTGCTTTTGTTTGTCTTTTTAAAGACATGCCTCAGTTATATTGTTCTGGGCTGGCTTTTCTCTTCTTTTTTTAGTTAGTATGTTGAATGTGACTTCTCCAAGGCATGCGACTTCATACTTCTGAATGAACTCATCAAGAATGGCTTAAATCAATAATTGCTGTAAGTCTTAATGCAAAGTTGAAGCTGAGAGTACATTAACAAAAAGCTTTCATTCTTGCACAAAGTTTTAATTAGCCATCCTGTTGATCTTTCCAGTTCAGTGCCTCACAAAGGACCCAAAGCTTTCCTTTATGGACCAGCGTTTCCATTAATTTGATTTTTTTTTTTTTTTTTTGGCACAAGAATTCAGGCAAAAACCTTAAGGGTTCCAACAAAAGTATAAGAGGAAAATGCAAAAATGGAAGAAATGCTCAGTTTTTATGTGTGTGTGTGTATATATATATATATGTGTGTATATATATATGTATGTGTATATATATATAAATAATATAAACAAATGTTACAGTAGACATAGTATTACATACTATTTCAAGATTATAAATTATCCTTAAGCCATACTTCACTGCTGCTGCTACTAGAATTTACCAATGTTATAAAAATAAGTAGTTTGTAGGGTAAGAAGTCAAAAGAGGAAGCACACCTGAGAAAATGCTTTGGCTGCAGATTTTTACCTTTGTTCAAAGTTGCTTTCTGCTATGTTTTTGTTTGCATCTTTGCCAGGGCATTGATATTGTTACAAAAGCACACTTCTGTGACAACAGTACTTTTCTTTCTACTTGGCTTTGAAGTAACCCTTGCAGAAAAAAGGCACTTTTAAAAGATATATTTTAAAATAAAACAACTACCAAACAACCCCAGACCCGATACAGTTTCTCATAGATCACTGCAAATACTAGAACTAAATATCTTTTTTTTTCTTCCAGTACTGCTAGCTGTAAGATAGTCCAAGTTTGGGTCTAAAGAAGGAACAATTGTCCTTTTTTGAAGAAGTAAAAAACCAAGCCAAACCCCACAAACTAAAAAGTTGAATGGAGTGACAAGTTTTCCGAACAGCAAGTATTACTGAGACTCACTTTCATGGGTCATAGTTGTTACTGGTATTTCAAGGTGACTGTTGGCAGTGTTTTTTCTTCGACACTTCTGTATGACTTTAAGTATTTCATCCTTGCATGGTTTATGAAAAAAAAGTATAAATACCAGACTAGCACAGCTCTCACAGAACAACACTATTTCAGCAATATTCATCACAAGCTCATTCTTTGGAGTTCCAATGCTCTTCTGTAATTTGAATGTTGTCCTGAATAGAATCATAATGTTATAAAAAAGACGGCATATAAATATTGTTATGCTTATAATGTATGCAGCAGGGTAAGTACGAATGTGCTGTTGTAACGCTGGAGCTTCAGCAGGTGCTACTTTAGTGAGGAGAACAGTAAAACAGAGTATCTGAAGAAATGATGGAATCCCAAATCCAAAAGTGAATTTAGTGATCTCGTATTCAGGCCATGCAAATAATGGATCTAACTGGCAGTCTGTTTCCAAGTGATAGTTATCTGTGCCAACCAGTACTGCCTCAATCAGTGACAAACAGAAGGCATATGTAAGTACAATTCCAACACACAATATGGGTCTTTGGGTTGCTTTGCAGAGAACAGTCCTTGGTGGAAATCTCTTGAGTAATAGTATGAGAAGCATCAAAATCAAAACATACTGAGAATTGAAATAACTGAAGTTGAAAAAAAATGACAGTACGTTGCAGGCGAGGTGGGTTGCTTTTAAATAGTCAGGTCTGCTAATGACAGTAAATGATAAAAAAATCATTATAATATTGCTGATGGTGAAGTGCAGAAGAAATAAGTCTAAGTTTTCTATGACTCTGTGCTGCAAATAATTCTTGATGAAAATGATCAAAATACATATGCCGGTTATTAATCCTGTTGGTACAAAAAAGGCGATGTAACAGTGCATAAGTCTTGAGATGATGTTTTGAGAAGCTATGAAGGCTTCGATTTCTTCTGGGGAGATGAAAGCCAAGTTCTTGCTTGGGTAGCTGATCCATGTCATGTTGTGAGAAGTCATCCTTCCTTCCACACTGCTTATTTCCTGTTCAATGGAGGCTGAAACTGAAATGGAAAAGGAAAGTGCAACAGTTCAGTTTGTAATGTCTCTAATTTGTACGTTAAATAGAATGTGCAGTAAGGAGTAGGAACTATTTGTTCAGAATAAATGCAGACATTTTTTTGTGGATTTGACATTCTTAGGTTAATTTAAAGCCAACTTGCATAATACTTTTAGCCAGAGAAATCTACTTTTTTGGTGTTTATCTGGTTCCTTCTCTCACCACTACCCCCTTTTACTCACTTGATGCAGACACAGAATTTCACTGCAGCTGAGCTTTGTAGACAACAGCCAGGATTTGGCACACTCATGTCGCCTGTAGAATGAATGCGAGAGTTGGCGGGTGAGGAAGGAGTTAGCTGTGTGATTAGGTGGAGCTGTTTTTCCTCACCATCTTGCCAAAAAAGGATAAGACAGTACTCATGGTAACTCCAGCGTGTGGGTTGTGGCTACACCCACTGTACTGTGGCAAGGGTGCGAATTCTGTATATTTTAACCCAGCTGGCAGTCTCAGGGCTCACGCTGCATACTGAGGAGAATGCAAAGATAATCACAATATGCAGCAAAAGTCACATTCTTTTCTTTGTTGTAGTTTTGCTTCCTTTCTGTCAGGAAGAAAAGCCTTTCGTAACTGCAGTCTGTACTGAGAAGCCCATATAAAATTAATGTGAATGTTTAAGAACTGTTATGAACAAACTGCTTTCATACTAAAACATCTTTATACATTAATAATACTGTCATTTTTGGATGTAGCTGTTGCATAAAACTGCAAAAAATAACGCTTTTCTGCATGCTTGAATTTGAGAAAATTATTACCGGTGCATTATAAGCCTATTGATAAAGTTTTAGCAAGGAACATTTTTTACAGCTGAGTTATAAATTCCCGAAAGTAAGGAATTTTAAGGGTAATATGGATAGGCTCTAAGATGTAATGACTCTATGATATGTTGATACAATAATTTTGCTACCATATAAATGTTTAGAGGATGCTTTTTTAAGCCAAAAAGCTTTGGAGAGCATAATATGTACTCATGGAAAACTGAGTGTAATAGATATGGATATATAAATTTTGCAGACCACCTAAAAGCATAATTAACTAAATTTCTAAAAGAAAATGTCAATGTATCTTGTACTGATGAATGCAGAAAATAGAATACTTTTCATTGCAAAGGAATAATATTTTTAAACATAAGATAATGAACTCATTATTCCTAATAAATTTTGAATGTCTGATTAAGCACGGTCCTCAGTACTGGAAAAAGTTAAACATATAGGCATTTTTACAGTGTAGAATGCTAGTTACTGAAAAAAACCAATCCTCCTTTATTCACAAGGATTTCAATTTTGTGTTGGATTAGAGTTTTGTGGTTTTTCTTTGTCTTGTTGTCCACAAAGCTGGTCTGTACAAGCAATGTACATACTACCTCAGGCAAAGACAGGACTCCTTGTAGAAGTTTATATGCAGTCATATTAGTAACAAGAGTGATATACTTAGTTGTACATAATGCATTTTCCATAAAGGGATTCTAGTGATGTTAACTCTAAAAGTGAAAGTAACATTAAATTGGTAAAAGTTCATAAAGATGCATTAATGTTTTTAAGCAGTGTTCATTATAGATAAGTCAGTTTCTTAATACTATTTGACAGTTCATTTATGGTTGTTACCTCTGACACTACTACATATTTCTGATATTTCTAATCTCTCCTCAAAATTGGAATTCTAATACTGGTTTTAATTAGAAAAGTTGACTTATCAAAGCGGCCTTGATTAAGAGTGTATATAATCTTACATGATTATAATTTCATTTATATAAAACCGTGGAGTTATGTTTTGATTCAGCAGTGTTCTTTGTTCCTTTTTAAAGACAAGAGTTTCTTCCTTTCTAGAAAAGGTTGTTTTTAGAAAGATGCCACTACAGGGAGGACTGATGCACCTGGAGAAGGGTTTTTTTGTGTTACAGGTATACTCACAGGGTGAGAAAAGTTGGCTGGTCAGAATCTGGCTGTGTTCTAACCTCTGAGCTGGAGTACACCATGTAGGAAAGTATTGATGGGCAAAACTGGCAGAAGTCTCCAAAGCAAATTAAGAGTCAGTATAATTTTGAAGCTTAAAAATAGATTGTTAAATACGAACAATCTTAAGAAAAACAGAGTGAAAATCTTTTCAAAGATGATAGGTGTCAGGAGGAATTATTGTTGTCTTGTTAACTGAGGAAATGTATCTTAAATACTTAGACGACCTTTTGTTTCTGTTCAGCTGATTTTTAATATGAACCACTGAGAAGGACTCAAGTTTTTATAGAAGTGCTTAAACTGAAGAGTGAAAATGGTTGGGGAAAAAGGCCCTAAACCACACATGCAAAACCTCACAACTGTAGGCAACTGGTTAGCCTTTTGTATTTCTTCATACTAGTGATTTCCCCCTTCTAGATTTTAATTTCAAAGTATCTCTCTTGAAATAAAGCTGATCAGTCTGATTTCTAAATTACATTCCACGCTTAATGCTGTAGCACTGGGGAGAAAAAAAATCTAGAAAATTCTCATTAATCAAGAATCAGCAATGCTTTCTACTTCCCTTTAGCTTTGTAGCTGAAAGTGATCTACTGTGCTATTCAGCCAGCTGTACCCATGGAGCTTGACAGACTTGCTGCTTCTGGCTTCCGTCTGCTGCTTTGCTTTCTCTGTATTTTTGCCTGGAAATCTAAAGACCATGAAATTCTAACTTCTACAACCAATCTCTTCTTAAATACTCAGGAGAAATCTCAAGAATGAAGGCAACAGGTTTTGACCTTTTACTAAAAGAGATCTGAAGCTTAATCTGGTGACGGATTGGTCATGGATAGAGAAAGAGAATGTGGAATCACTTGAGCATCTGCAGAAAGCTTGTTGCTATCATCCCACACAGTAGTTTCGGGATGTTAAGAAAGATTTACATTTTGAGCTGTTGTACCAGTGTTACCTTCTAGTCCCATCAGGCCTTTTGCAGGACCGAACATTTGAATTTAGTTTTGGCACTGTGAAGGTCTCCATTATCTTCTCAACTTTTACACCATGGGCCAACTAACCATGCTTGCTGTCCTTGCAGAGAATCTCAGAATAGCTCAGCAACGTTCAACTTTTATGGTAGCGTAATTGCAAAGGAAACAAAGGACGTAGTTTTGGCTTTCACAGGAAATGAGATGGCCTTACATCAAATTACAGGAAAAACAAGATGCCAAAACCCCAATAAATTTGCTCAGGACCTGGCCTTGGTACTGATACTGGGTTCATCTTTGACCATAGCAAGGTAATTTTAATTTTATTTAGCTACTCTTTGAGTGTTTAAGACAAACTAAGGAACATTAAACTTAAAGCAGCATGTTTCAGTTGCCACAACTTACTGTGTAAGAAAGTGCATCGTTTTGGTTTCTCTACCCACCAGTTTGCATGTTGTGATATTTTAATAATGGACGAGCACAGTATCATGGAGAGGCTATCGATGTATTCTAGGCCTCATTTGTCATAGGTGTCAAGATGGATGCCTGAAGTAGTTTCAGTTGGGTTGCAACTCTCATTTATAACCACAGACCATTACTTAATGTTACAGTTCATAATATTAACATCATTGTTATTATTTCTTATTGTCCACCTAGTCATTGTTATTCTAACCAAAGTGTCTGTCTTCTAACTTATTTTGCAAGGGGTTTAAACTAAACAAAGGTAATCTGTTCAACCTAGAATTAACATACTCACTTGGGGGGAAATAACAGTGCAACTATATGTGTATAGTTAAAATCAGTGTAAGTATTAAAGTTCTGACTTAAGTAGAAATTTCTAGGTGCACTGTTTTAAAAGGAACTTCCAGAAAATCACTTTAGGATTACCCACACAAACAAAATTTTACCAAAACAACAGGCTGTTTGCAGCTTTGCTGTGGTTAGTCAGTCTGAGCATAATGAATTCAATAAATTGTTCATCACAGAAGAAAAAAATATTTCTAGCATTTGGTTTGGCAAATAAAATTAAAATTAATGATGTAGACATTAATTTATTTTCCCCCTTAAATTATTCCTAGGAGGTTTTTATTCTGCTTTGAAAAAAAAAATCACAGTGATAATGTCAGACTATTTTCTTACTTGGTTCAGGTGTCTAAGTAAGTATTTGAAAGAGAGCAAATGATGATTTTGAGTTCAGATTGTGGTAGCAAAGACTCGTGTGCAGGTGGCTGCAATCAAATATGCCTAATACTTCATACAAGCTAATATGTGTATGTTTTTCTCTAACATGGTCACAGCTAGATGTATATTTCTGACTTATGACCTTATCCTACAATCTATTTTTTTGCAATACTTTGTCTCTTCGTAACTATTTCAGTGAAATTTGAGGATATAGAGCACTTTACAAGATATACTGCTCATCACCTCGAAGTCACTGCATTGGGGTTTTCTAGCTGAGATTATAAATTGAACCCGGTCAGAAAAGTCTGACTCCTTTGCATCCTCTGCAGCTGATTGATTGAATATAGTCACAGATGGTGTAACCTCTCTATACATTTGTTTACATCAGAATGGATAGCTTTAGAGAGTCTTATAGCTGTAAGGTGCTCATCTATCATGTAAAGCAACTCTTAGAAATTGCAAGTCTTTACGCTTCTAAAACATTCCCAAAATGTTAAGTTCATTCCTTGCACTGCTTATGCTATGCTTAGAATAATAATGGGATGAAGGAGCTCAACTTCTGCTGTAATAAGATGAACATATTTGCAAATTTTTATAGACTTTTGGTAATACTAATTTAATTTAAAATAAGAAGATAGGTTTCAGGGGAACAGCAGAGCACAAGGGTGGTTTATTTCTCCCATCTTTTATTTCTTCAGAATATCCATACAGCCAGCCACATATTTTTTCAAAATACTTTGAGTTTCCTTCATAAAAAAGTAAGGAATTTATTATGTCATTTTACTTTGTTGTGAGAAAATCTGGTATTCCCTCAGTTCCTGTCTGGTTCTTGGATTTACTGCAGGGACATATATTTTATTTCAAAATGCATGTAATGTTTATGTTCTGCTTCTAGTGGAATCTGTCAGTTTAGAGTGCAAACACCTCAAGACCTAAATTTATTATTTTTGATTCTTATAACATACTATGACGTTTACTGACTTTGTTACTTCTATTTACTCCCTGGTAACAGTAATATATAGCATGTCAAAGTTCACATATATTGAAGCTGTGGCAGAAGCCAGACTTATTCCCGTTTCTCTTAAGATTAATTAATGAGGGAAATCTGCAATATGCTGCTTGCATTATCGTTCTCTATATTGGTGTGCTCCAATATTTCATCCCTTCTTTACCTCTATTCCCCCTCACTTTGTTTTCATTGACCATTATTTGCATGTTGTGAATTCTTCCTTAACTTCATGTGGCCTCATTTTTTTTCTGTTGTTGTGTTTTTTTCTTCTTTCCAGCCCTGCTTCCCCACTATCATCCGCCCTGACTTTTGTGTCAGCAGTTTAAGTGAATACATTTGATTTTTACTTTCTGAAGCACAGTGAATATGTTATCCTTCACTTCCAACAGATGGAGCTGAGCAAAGGAGCATAGTGTTCAGAGGCAGTTGAAAAATAACAAGTTGTGAAAAGGCTACTTTCAGTACCAAGAGAAACTAGTCTCTAAGATTTCATTGTTTCTGGTCCCCTATCCCCACTTTGATGGTTAGCTCTTGCAAACGGAGAGCTTGGTTTCAAAGAAACTTTTGTTTATTTAAAGTCTAGAAAGAAGAGCTCCTAAACCAGGGAGTTTCTCCCTGGCAGCCAGAACTCTTCCTCTATAAAAAGGTTTGGCAGGGCATTCTTTCTGCATTCTGTCACCAGCTTTTAGAAGGAAAATATTCTTTCATCCAGTCATAAAGCAATATGCATAATATTCCTTGTGAAACTTGGCTCTTGGTGGGCATGTCCTGCATCGACCTGTGAAAACACTGCACATAATTTGGGGGGTGAATTTGCCCTTTCTGTCTGTACTACGTCTGCCAAGTTAAAAGATGGGGGCAGCTTGCAGTTTATTAAAGACCGAAGGGTAAAATACTGCATTCATCTGTCTTGTAGAAATTTCTACACATGGGCGAGTATTTGAGGTTGTAAAGATTTAAGAAATCGTACCCTCAACTTCTGAAAAATTACCAGTTTCTGAGAAAAAATACCAGTTTCTGAGAAACTGAAAGCTTTTATTTTTACTTTTCCTGAATTTAAATGAATCAGCAGTAACTGAACATAACGCTGACGTGTTTCCTGTCCTATACAATTCCTGCAGTGTGGTTAGGAGTATCCAACAATGTCCATCCTTTAAAAGATTGCTCTTAAGCAATGGTTGGAGTCTTTTGTCCAGACCACTGAACAGTGTTTCATCATCTAGCTATCATCAGTTACCGGAAAACAGTCTTCACGTTTACTCTGTTTAATGCTCATCTTTCTTATAAATATCAGCTTTCTGAGGATGTTTCCCAGATACAGTATTTTACTTTGTGTAGTTGAAATGTCATTAAAGAAGGGAAAATGAAAAACTTCATATGATAACTTTAGCTTCACAATTTGAGCCTCCTGTGCTGAATAAAACATTGCATATTCAAAGTAATAGAAAGCACTTACCTTTTCAAGAAAATGTTCCACAGATACAACAGGCTGACGCTTTCACTGTGAACAGTCAGATGAAATATAATTATTGTTTGGAGCATATAGCCCTTTTTGTTTATGTAGAAAGCAGGGTGTATATATTACAATAACTTCTTTAGCTGCTGTACATCACGATGAAAAATCCAGATGCTCGCTGACTACAAAAACATACAGTTCTGTAAAGGAAACAGGAACTTGGTTGAAGTCATTCAAACCATACACGTTGCATGTTTAGCAAACCTATGGTTTCATCATGTGACTTTAAAGTTCAAATTATCCTCTTCAGTGAGATATTTTGGAACAGAAAAGTAGTGTTTGTCCCTGCCATTTCTAAGTATGTGAGGCCATCCAGTGGATTTTTTTTTGCTTGTTCCTGCAGTAATCCTACGCGTACTGGACAGCCTTTGCAATTACATTTTTTTCCTAGTGTGCCGTTTTAAGTGCTAAAGATCTAGAAAAGGAAAAGCCTGTTGAATAAATACCAAGCAAGCCCCCTTGCTTAACAAGACAAAAACTTAACACAAATGTAGTGCATGTCAAAAAATATGGAGATCCTTTCTTAAAAGTATTTCTGTTTTTCCATGGGTCCAGGCTCTTGGAACACTCCCAGTATTGTACACATGCAATAAATTATTTTTCCAGATGTTGTGCAATGACCATGAGGTGTTAAAAGACAGGACTTTGAGTGTGTAGTGTGTTTTGGGTCTGGCTCAGCATCAGTCATCTTAGTGACTCTGTTGAATAGTGTTCTTAAAACCTCAGATATAAATGAGCAAAAAAGGGTTGGCTCATGATATGTTTTTGGTGCATGCAGCCTTTCTCTCTGGAATGCATTGGTATTATCGTGTTTTTTCATATTCTCACAGAGGGAAGAACACTTTTATTTTAACTTTTTTTAATAATCTGCAGTGTCTTTCACAGGTTGAGAAGACTATTTGTGACCAGTGCACTTTGTTTTCATGGCACCTTACTTGTTGCACTTTAGCACGTTTTATTGAAAAACATGTGGAAAGAGCCAAAACACTTTAAAGAAATTGAGACAATATCTATGAGTCTAGATTTCGAAATTGGAGTTGTGAGTAACCTAGAGAAAATATTTCAGCACTAGGTCTACACTTCTACCTGAAGGTTAGCACTACTGCTTCAAATACTTTTTTTGAAACTAGATGTGCATGGAGGGTCTTGGGTTGCAGCAGTGGCCCAGAGATGTTTCAGACTTTAGGTTGAAAGTTTGTGTTCTTTGTGAGATATGTGTGCTCGAAAACAGCTCTTCAGTAGTTCTTTGGCTCTGTGAAATGTGGTTTCCAATGAGTTTACATGTTATTTAGAATATTTTAATTCCAATCCTGACTTTGGTTTTGATCATTTTAGGATAGTAGTTTGTTGGACTGGGTAGTTTGTTTTCCTCTTATTTACAGTACTTCCTCCAAACTCTTACTGAAAAAACTTGAATAAAGCTGGCAGTGTAATGTAGGTGTCTTGTATATAGCATTGCTTTTGAGGTGTACCCAAATCCAGGTTTATTTTGTTGGTATTAATTTCTTATAGTTGAGAATAATAAAGAAAAAAAATACATGTTGTAATCATATGCAAGTCAGACAAAGTATTTTTTTCTTGTTGATTTTCCCTGAAAAATGCAGAAGTGTCACCTTATTCTTTCTAGGACTTAGCCCTGTGCAGAGAGCACAGTAAACTACGTAAGCATAGTCAAATGATTGGTTTTGAAATTGCAGGTCATCAACTGGTAGATACTAACTTCACTTTTTAGCTTCCAGAATGGATCACATGTGCACATGAGGCAATGGTAGACAGTTATGGCATTGGTTTGTTGCTGCACTTTCCACTGAAGTGGTCTGAATAGGCACGTGATTGATAACCATGGCTCTGCTGGGGGGCAGGGAGGGCACAAAATTATTTCTTGGCTAAGGGGCACCAGCAAACAGCAGGGTTTTTTACTTTTTGCACTACTTTTGAGTAGATGTACACAGGAATATATGGCTGTGCCCTTTGTGATTATTAGTAAAATAAAGGCAAATCAAAAATAAGCCAGCACCAAAAGTTTAAGGAATATTCAAACCACTCTTTACAAAGGTTTAAATTATTCTGAGTTAATTAGCAATCCGTGAGCAAGGAGTAACTCAAGTGAAGATAAGCCCTAACACAGCAGTGTTAAGACTACATTTCCTGTTATTCAGTAACTGCTTTTCAGACAATGCAAGGTGTAGTAAAGCAGAGCTCCAAGGGAAGTTATCCTCTAATGAGAAAAATCATATAAATAGAACCAGAAAAGCAAAAAGAGAAAAGCTATTTCTTATTCTTCCATCTTTAAAAAGAAAAAAATAATCTAAAAGAAAGCTCCTATCTTCAAAATTATGTTCAAATTTGCGAACATTATTTCAAACTTTGACTGAAACCTGTATTAAGCCTCGTTATTCAGTGAGGCAAAAACATTTAGCATACTCTGAATTAGGAGCAAGTAGCACATTACAATTCAGAATGTGTACGTAGATTCAGAGAATCACATCAGAAAGTACCCCTGTTTTACAGGTGGAGAAACTTGGCTACTGAGAGATTTCTTCTTCCAAGTTAATGGAATAAATTGGAAGCCAGAGGAGAAATAGAGGTTAGAAAATCAAGGTTTTCCTACTTCATATTCATTATTCTGTTTAGACCATGCTGGTTGCTGTCTCAATAGCTGCAATTCTGCCTAGACTATGGAGATGGACAAAACTTCGCCTGAGGTATCTTAACAGCTATATGGTGTGGTTTTGGCAGCAGCTCACTGGTGTTATTGTCACAGTTAATGTGTTACTAAAAGAAAAGCAAGATATTGCTGTTGTGTGACCAGCTATGTCTTTCCTTTAAACAATAAAACAGTTTATTTAATTTGCTTAAATGATCACAGGCTGCAAATCACATGAGAAGAGTGGCAAACAGTAGAGTTTAGTTGTATAAACATTTCATAAAGCGGCAAAAAAATGGTGGTTAACTGACTGTGTGATGATGCATAATTTTACTATTTTTTATGAGTGATTTATGATTTCTTGGTGATTAGTATGTATTAGTAATACATGCTCTCAGTGGAAGAGGTTGATGTATTATAATGATGTTCCAGATAGGGAAGAGACAGGAAAGATAGAAGCTGCAGAAGTTAAATAATTGTGAGATGCAGTGACAATATTAAAGGATGGGCTGATAACATGTACAATTCCACTAGTCCCCTACAGTGGCTATGGTGGGCAAAACTCTTGTTTGTTTTTTAACACATCTTATGGCAAAATAAATATTTCTAGTACCAAGTGACAGATGTTATTATAAAGAAAGCAGGTAAGACACTTTTCTTTTGACCAAAACCAGTAATTTCTGTTAATTGACCCATATTACTGATGTATTTAGCAGAGTACAGATCCCTGACAGTAGGTTTAATTTGAAGTGTCTTTCTCTCATACACACATATGTCAGATTAGAGAGAAACTTCTCTGTCTTCTCTAACACAGTTGGATGCTTCTGGCTTGTGAGATGCTGAAACCATGGAGACTTCAGTTGTCTTACTCTCTGGCTTAAAGCAGCTCTATCCAGTAAAGTATTATGGAGATGGTGATTCTGTCTTGTTGACCTTCCTGCTGAATCATCGTGATCAGATGTTCAGCAGAGTCGCAACACTCAGTTGAGCAGTAGAGCTACTCTTTGCTTGGTGCAGCATCAAAGAGCCACAGTCATCAAGAACAGAGACCAAAGGCTGCAGTAAGCTTGCAGTTTAAGGACTGGACTGGATTGCTCTAGGGTAATGATTCTTGTTAGGGAGCTAATCCTGCATGAGAAGTCTAAAGTCTCTTTTTAGACTATGTGGTTGTCTTCTGCTGACTATTAACGTATCTTTTCTTGCCATTTGATGTAATGTTATTAAGAAAACTGTCCCTGTGTAGTACAATAGGATTGTTTTGGAATATTAAATGGCTGTTATTGCCTGTTCCCCAGTGTACTGCAATGAAAAGCAAGTGCTGTGTTACTGGAATTTTAAGTTGTGAAATAGTCTACAATTTTTTTCAAATAAATTTTTCATAAACTACCATGTACTCCCATTTTCATTTTTCCTCTCACGTTATGTGTTAAAAAAAACCCAAACAAACAAACCCCCCCAAAAAAACCCCACCAAAAAACTTGAGTGTGGGGTATTAGCTGCAGATTTAGTCAGATTGCTTTGACTCTATTCAAGGGCTGAGCTTACATATTGGAAGCTTTTCTTGGTGGCATTTTAGCACCTTAAGGCTACTTGTATTAATGCAATAACTCAAGATTCCTGGGAAAAAATTTTTTTTGACAAACATCTATTCTGAGGCTTTTGTTGTATTGATGCATAGTTGCCAGTCATTCTGTAAAATTGTTGTGAAGGCCGATTATGTATGTTTAGTCTTGTCTTACTTGACAGCAAGCAAATTTGTGGCCTTGATTAAAAGACTATAGAACTTTAGAACTTTAACATAAAAAAGGAGGAGAAAAAAAAAAAAAAGGCACGGAAGTGGTCCACAAATCCAAGAATTGCTAGCTTTGAAGAAAGTTATTTTGTTTATGGATGAATTTTAGAATATAAAACCTTGCATGTCTTTATTGTACTATATTCCCTGCATGTTTGGTTTTGGGAGGGTTTTTTGAGTTTGTTTTTTTTTAAAGTGGAATTCAAATGCTTATGTTGATTTAGAAGGTACATGGAGCTATGTGAATTTGTAAAATTTGATAGCCTTAGTGCCTCTGCTTGGAACTCTCTGCTTGGATAGTGTTAAAAAAGCACGAGCTGGAGATATGTATACATAAGAACTGGTATTAATAATTACCTCTGCCTCAGAAGCTGGTCGTACATCAACATTTCTTCCTTTTATTCTAGAACAGCTATGCTCTGTGCTGTGTGATTGCTGCCTTCACATCTCTGGGTTGCTTGCCCATGATTCACTATTAGTGATTTTATGTTGGCTTATTTGGGCATTGTTCGTAATGTAAGTTGTTTTATAAACAGTGTTTTATTATTATTACTATACACTAATGTTTCTATCAATCACAAAATAAATTCTTCAGCACGGGTAGATCATCTATGTAACTCAGCTACCAGAGCTCAAAAATTGTTTGTATTTCCAAATAATACTCTACTTCTACTAAAGGGTGGAAAAAAGCTTTTTTAATGGCAAGTTTTATAAGAGAACTGGTCTCTGCACAGCACT